AGTTTATGACCCCCGGGAAATGTATCTTATTTTAACCTTCATGAGACGTGAAAGGAAAAAAAAGTATGCACAGTACTTCTAGCAGAAAAACAATTTAAGAGGAGGCTTCGGCCTGAACCTCCTGGCATGGGGTGGGTGAAGACAGTGTTTTTATTTTTATTTAAATTGTGTTTCGTTTTATTTGTGGGATCTTTTTTAAAAAGTCCGATCGCTTTTTGGACGAGCCAGAGAGGGCGGGAGGCCAGTGCCCAGGCCTCCGCTGGCCAGTTGGGGGACTCCTGCCGCCCTGGCTCCTGCCTGGCCTGGGGAGCAGGAGCACCGCGACTCCTTCAAAGTTTTGTTGTGCTCTGTTTCCATTTGCTACGAAACTGAAGAAAGGGGGAAAAACAAACAATAAATCTGCATAGATCCAAAAAGTCACTGGAGCCTGGCTGGTTTTTCTGTGGGTTTCGTTTTATCGTATCTCCCTGGCAGGAGAGAAGGAAGGAAGGCCCTGACCTGGGCAGCAGAAGAAACTGGGCTGCAGCGTACAGAGGGGCCCTGCCCCCGCCCTCCCCTCCAGGGCTGCCCTGAGGGGGGAGCCCCTGGCCCCCAGAATGAAGCCCCCCTTGGTGGTGACCCCAGGTGCAGGGCCCTGGTGTCCTGGTGGAGAGCACTGTTCCCAGCTCTCCTGAGCCGGGGCCTCCCAGCTGAAGGGGTGGCCTGGCCTCCTCCCCTGAAGGGCCAAGGCGTGGACGGCCGGGGCCCCCGCCACGGAGCAGCAGCACCTTTGGGGTCTGGCCGCCCTGAAGGGGCCAGGCGGCTGCAGGGCTTAGCTGCCGGTCACCTCCCTGCACAAGAGGATGGACGGGGCTGTGGTAGCTCCGTCACTGGTGCTTTGGAGAGAAGCACCCCGATGTTCTCGTGGAGAGGCTGCTGCTTTCCTGCAGACAGCGGTTCTGCCCTGACGGGTTCTCTGTGAGTGTAGCCAGTTTGTTTTATTGTCTCAGCCCGAGACCCAGAGAAAAGGCGAGGCTGCTGCTGCACGTTCGCTTCAGAATAAAACTTAGAGCGAGATGCTTTGCTTAAAACCCCCAAACCCAGAGGCTGAGACCCCCAGCCCCCAGGAGGGGAGCAGGCTGCTGCAGGTCTGAGAAGTGTGTGTGGGTGGGGGGGGATGTTAAAGGGACTAAATAGAGGGGCTGCAGGGTGACGGGAGGGGGGGAGCCAGACCCAGCAGGTCCTAGCCAACCTCAGGACAGCAGCCCGGCCGGCTCAGACCCGAGGATGCCACCAGCCTAAGCGTCCTGGCACAGAGGTGGTCTCTCACCAAGGAGGGGTGGGAGCCTAGACACGCACAGCAGGGCCCACTGGCTTGTGTTTGACGAAGACACTTTAGTTTTCACCGTTGCCTCCTGAGGGGTCTTTTGGGAGCCTTCCTCCTGGCAGAGAGAGTAGGATGAGGCTGGAAGGTGGGCAGGAGGGGAGCTTCATGTTCTCAGTGCTCCAGCCTGGGCCGGTTGGCTGCTGGGTTTGACTCCACCTTCCTCTTCTAGTTTCTCTCCCTGCTTCCCTCCCTCTTCCCTTTTCCTCTCTCCTTCCTCCTGCCCCCTCTCCCTCCTTCCCTGGTTTCCCTCAGGATAGAACTCAGAGAAGGAAAAGGGACACGGAGAACTTGGACTTGTGGGAGGCAGGAGAAGTGCTTTTTCTGTGTGCTTAGAGACACATCCTTCCCAAAAGCATTTGGGGGAATCCACAAACTTGTAGAACAGCCAGCTGTGGAAAGCACCTCTGGCTCCCGCATCGTCCAGTGCCCGTCTGGCCAGGAGTACAGAGCAAGGCCCACCTC